ATTTGTTGCTAACATCAAAACCAACAATTAAATCGCTAGATCATTAATTAGGCTGTAAAGTAGTGTTATATTCATTCTCTCATAGAATAGATGGCCATGCTTCGGCACGAATGGGCCGGCTCGACCGGAGTGATACCACGGCCTCAACTGACGTGAAGCAACATTTGCATTGTGTTTAATCGTGTGAGTGAAGTTACCGGAGGCCCAATTATCCCCCCCCCCCCCTTCCAATCTCTCCACTCCCTGAATCCCCAACAATCCTCAAATTCCTAATCCCCAAAAGGCCGGTAAAGCACTTGTTACGCCTCTGGTGTTCCAGGTGTCCATGGACGACGCCGATTGCTTACCATCAGGTGATCCGTCTGCTCGTTTATCGGCTGATCCCATAAAATTAACATTAACTGTTCGCGAATTTATAAACGTGTGGCGGATTAATAAAATTATACAACACTACTCTCCCCATGGGTATCGTAAAAACCGATTAATTTTATCTAATTGTACAATTGAAAGCACTAGGAAGTATAAAATGTTACAAACGTATGAGATACTACACTTTGATTAACCTAAGAATCGAACTCGAGACTTAATTTTCGACAAACATTTTCATACCCACTTCTACCTACTACCCTTTAAACAATAAAAGACCTAATACAATTATTAAACTGTCTGAGAAATCAGTTGAAAAACATACCTACTAAGTACTAACGAATTGAGAACCTCCTCCTTATTATGGGAAGTCGGTTAAAAATGTATCCCCTTTCTTATCCAAATCGTAAATCAATTAAACAATTCAATTCTAAATGACAGCTACAAACTGACAGACATACAGTTTAATTATGACAGCTAACCCTTCCCCGCCGTGTATTAATTAGTTACTGCCGTACACGATGCTTGACAAATAAGTCCCAACATATTTGTAGCGATGAAATGGCATGTGACTATTATGGAGTGTTTATGAAGGCCAATAAAATTATAATATGTGTGTAAGTAGTTTCAATTATCACTTTATAAAGTAAATTATAGTGGTTTGCTATAACGTTATTTTCTGTTTATTGTTTTATAGAAATTCACACACAATACGAAGGAAAATACACACCGATATTCGCGAATAATATCAAAGTACATTTTTTAACAGTCAATCTATTTATGTGTGTAGTTTTGTTGGGCGTGGCGTTAGATTGTAAGGCATGCCATTACGTTTTATTATTGAATAAATAATAAAAAATAATAACCAAGTAATGAAAAATTAAACCTTATGCTTAAGTCAGTGTAGTTGTCAGTTTTACTTGACAAAACAACATATGTATTTCTAAAATCGAATGAAAAATAAATTTGAACTCTAAAGTCATACACTAAAACCCCACTTTCCTACCACCATAAACAGAGCAATTTCTCTAACACAAGACAATAATGAAACATTAAACATATTATAAACATACACGACGCAATTAAAATCAACTTAATGCGATACATCAGATCATAACATGGGTCGTTTGTACCCCCACTACTACATATCGGATTATACGTAACCAGCTTATCATAAGCTCGGTTTGTATGATCTTTTTGAACATTCAACGGTCAGTTTATACTGTTTTTTTGTAGCTTGATATGTACTCAGTATGGTACCGTCGACTACCGTGTATTAATTGGTGGTTCTCCAAACAACAGCGCGATAATGTTTGATTGATGCTGTCGATACCGGCCGTAAGGGTGCGTTTATGTGTGACAAATTTTGATGCGATTTTATGACAAAATTTGAAATGCTATACATTTTATGAGACATACTAAATTAATTATTATGTTTTTCGACTTACTCACAGGCGACAGTCGCTGCGTTGCGGGTCGTGGAATGCTGCTCATGAATATGAGCCTCTAGCATGGCTTGAAACTAGTCGAGTTTCTCGTCGAATAATTACGTGAGTAAGCCGAAAACATAATAACTAAGATTTGAAGTTATACTTGGAGTAAATATGTGCAGGCAACTCTATGTAAATCAGCGTCTACGAGACCACGAAAAAAACTCAATTTAAATTAAAAATAATTATCAATACAGGATACGCTGCGATTTTAAATCGCAACCTTAGACCGTCTCTATAAACGCACCCTAAGTTCATATTATCCACAAGGATATTCTGTTACACGCATCATTAAGGGTTGGCACACGTTATAGAGAACATTGGCGGACGGAGGGTTATCAGCACTTTGATTACTGATACGTAATCAACGAGTAATCAACTATTATGTTATGGTAGCCTAGTACCTATGTGTAAAGAATTTGTTTTGTAATAGTTTTGTAAATTAATAAATACTGTTTAGGTAGTCCTTTTGCGTCCTTTTGGGCGATGTGTTTATAATAAAACTTTCGTGGGACATCCTAAATTAATTTTTCATCTTCTTCTTCTGATTCACTTCGTTGCGGGAACCAAGACAGTCCCTGAGACTCATGTCCCTGAGACGCGCCGGACTTCAGTTTTCCGGTGTTTTCTGTAGATTATCTACGGTCAGGAGGTGCCTGAGCCTTTCTTTTTTTATTAAGTAACATAATAGGGAACGCGGTTGAACTAATATTATGCGAGGTAATCTGTCTGTATAGTGTTCAGATGTTTATTGGTATAGATTAGTAATTTAGTACTTTGTTTCTTTTTATTTTGTTATTATTTGTTTTTATTATCATAATAATTTTGTAGGGAGTACTGTGTCGACCACATTCTTTTATAGCATAAGTTTGTTTTTTATATGTGAAGACTTGTCATTGGCTGTCAGACTCTCACACAATGTCATAATTTTTGTCTTGTTAGCTGTTAGTCTTCCAAAGTTGTTAAATAAATAAATAAATAAATAAATAAATAAATTACTTACGGTAGATCCTGGCTTACAGGAGTTGCAGCGGTTTTGGGAGGTTGTGGTGGGCTTGTCCCAAAAAAAACCTAAATTATGTTCACTTAAGGGGCCAGTAGAATACCAGCGCAAGGCCCTGTCTTGCACATGCTGAACTGGTCCCATTTCATGGCAGACTTGGGACATGAACATGTATTCATCAGTACCTACTAATAGAATAAATTATCTGTACGTGTCACTTGTTTTTTGCGTAAAATAAAGTATTTTTTCTTTAGTTCTTTCTTTCTTCCTGTTTTCGGCTTACTCAAGCAACTGACGAGGAACGCGAATAGGTTCAAGCCATGCTAGAGGCTCATATTCTGAGCAGCATTCCGTGACACGCGACTGTCGCGCTGCTTCTGATAAGTCATTTTTCGAAGTATTCATATAGGTATAAATTCTCAAAATGTTTGTGATTATGGCGAGCGAACAACCATAATAAGTTTCTATAATTAGTAGAAAATAAGTAAACTTCTATTTTGAATTTACGGCATGTAAAAGTTATTTTATGCAAAATTACTTTGGCGCGTTAGATTAAATCTGTAATAACAAATGTAATATGTGGATATAATAATTACAGGATATAGGGACTCCTAACGCTAACACGATATGGCAAATACTGGATTTTGCACCCATTAAAAAGAATATACATTAATATAGATATTACTCAGAGTAGTATAAGTATACCCATACCCATGCCAGTAACTCCCCCGATTTACACCTCCTTTCATGAAGTTTTTAACAAATATATACATAATATGTTACATCAAACCTAAGCTCCTATTCCAAGCATGCCACACAACAATGTTTACTAAAACACAGACCATTGTCAAAAAAAAACAGTATCATTTATCACAATAAAAGTAATTAAAAATGTCACAGGCATAGACTGGTCACGCCATCTAAGACCAGACTTAATATGTTAATATGTCTATTAATTAAAATAACAACAATAATTGAACATACGAGTCTACCACGCGAATTTCTAATTAATATCTGTAATTGTAGGATGAGGGTATGTTATTTAAGATACTAATTAAAACAGTAATTGTGTACACAAGCAAATAGGTACATAAAATTTTGTAAAGGTTTTTAAAATAAAACTAGACTAGACTGCCTCGTTGGCCGAGCGTATTGCCATAATTATACCGGGCACAATTCCAGACTCCGTGCTACTACTGAGATTTTTTTTAAAAACCCAGTAATACATTGCCCGACCCGGGAATCGAACCCGAGACCTCTAGCCCGGCAGTCGCACTTGCGACCACTCGGCCAACGAGGCAGTCTTAACATACATCACGGTGTAAGTAATTAATTCATTTATCATCAGTTATGTGTTTTATTATCATATTGTATTTTAAACTAATGGCATACTTCTATAGTACCTGCTACATATGAATATTCCAATTGGATCAAAAATCTCAAAGCCCAACAATATTTGCCCGACCCATCGTTGCTCACTTACCATTACCACCAACGCAGTCAATTCTTTTGAACCCAATTTAAATTCAGCCCACAACCTTGAAGATCACATTATTCCCGGAATCAATTCCCCACCGATGTCATTACACCGAAAAGACGCGGTTACCCCACCATACATACATATGTGTAATCCCCTAATTTGATACTGGTTTTAATTAAACAATTTAACTTGGCGGTCTCGTCGCATCCCCCCTTCCGTCCCTATACCCTATCCCTTCGGTATCGCTCAGAGATTTATTACAGACACACCTGGAACCTTTGATGTATAGACCACAAGACATGTGTGATTATCTTTGGGGAAGTCGGTGGTAATGTTGATCATAGGAGAAAATATTTGAGAAGTAATCAATTTCCTGATCATTACTAAATAATTTTGAACCGTAGGTATATTGAAATCAAATAGATATTTCAAACTTCAGTTTCAATTTATACGGCCACAAAAAGCCATGGAAAAATCATAATTTAGAACTTATTAGAAACAAAACTGTTTCGTAAGAACTACACAAAACTTCTGTCTAAAACTCATCATGACAATCCACAATCAATCACATTGAAACCTGTCAGAGTTTACGAAATAAGGATGTCAATTTGTGTGGCGTATATTTTATAATAATTTATTATTTTGTAATCAATTTACAAACATGATGTTCATTTACGCGTGCACAGTCATACTTACGGCAATATGTGAAGTCATTGCCGTAGACCAGAAGGACTTTGCACCAAATGTAGGCACAGTACTGTTCACTGCAGCAGATCTTAAAAAGAAACAATGGAGCAAAAGCGAACTAGCATTGATAAAGGCCAGAAGGTACTTTCAAACCCTGCTCCCTCCACCAGTGTTCATTAACAACTTCAATGAAGACTACGTCAACATACTACTCGGATATTTCAGAGACGCTTACACTGCTATCAGACGAGAAGCTCCTGACACCGAAACAGATACCATTATGACTACAGCTCTATCTGATGCAATAGGCGGCTACCTTAAAGTTTGGGTACTACCTGTGGCAAAATTAGACTACTATGGAGGCACAATATCTCAAAATAACGTGGTCAAATTATTCCAATTTTACAATGAGATAAAAAGATACTTAGACACCGATGGAGTCCAATGGCGTGAGCCTGATGAAAAAGTTCTCAACTCCATGACCATCAATGTTGCTCCATTGAAGATAGTATCAAATACCAGAAGCATGAAAAATCCTTGTGATAATTTGGCTTACTTTGAAAAGACTGACACAGGATTGGCGATACCGATTCCAAATGTGAATTGGAATCAGAGATCAAGTACAATGTTTATACCTCTGAAGAATACATCTTTGATACGGATGAACACTCCAGATTCTTCACACAATTTGATTAAGTACTACGATGCAGCAACAAATTGTATTCAATCTAGTAACCCTAAGGAACAGGAGAAATTCGATGAAAAATTTCAAGATTGGCTCGCGAATGACGTGGTACCACACTTAAAGGATGAGAACTTGTATCTCGCACTTGGAAGTGTACTCTCACTAGTAAACAGAACACGAGATCTTTGCAATAACGTCATTGACTTATACGGTAACAGATTAACCGTGTGTGGAAAACCTCCTTCCCACGCATTAGTCGATTTATCATGTAAAAAGATGTGGGTAATATCCATAATACTGCTTATCGAAGTGGCCTGGTGCATACCAGCTTTAATTTACATATTATGTTCTAAAAGATTAAAAAAAAAAGATTGTACAAGTAACGTCTATCTCTTTATAGATAATAATAAGGGCGAAAAGGCGGAGAAAAAAGGCAAAGGTTACTTTAAAGGTAAGGCAAGCTACAGAGTTGAAGATACCTGCACAATGCCACAAGATAAATCCTACACGACATCCAGTAAAAATCCGGAAGTAAAATTACTTCGTAGATCTGAGTTTACGAACATGGAATTTGAGGGCGAATTACCCGAAATGAGAATTGCGAAGAATGTTGGAATTGGGTCCAAAGTGTGTTGTGTTCCATCGTGTCCCGTAGCTAACAAAAAGTCACGCGAAAATCCTAAACAAGTTGGAGTTGTCATAAAAAAAAAATCGTCACTTAAAAAGCCAGTTCAAAATTTGTATCCTGATAGATGTAATTCTATGCAACTAATGGCTTTATCAAGTCACGATCAGGGTTTCAGCTGTAGTTCTAAACTTACCCAAAGTAATACCAGTTTTACAACTGTACGAAATGCGTCAAATAACGTACCAGCAGACAGTACATCATTTGACCACAAAAACAGAAAAAGACAAGGAAAATGTGATGATCGTAGAAAGTCGGAGGAGTGTTGTCAAGTCCTTAATGAAGTCCGTAGCAACAGGTCACCAGATGGACAAGGAAGATTTGAGGCACTTCGAAAAGCAGAAGAATGTAAGAAACTTGAAGAACGGCGAAAGGCTGAAGAATATAAAAAAGCAGAAGAACGCAGAAGGGTAGAAGAATATAAGAAACTAGAGGAACGCAAAAGGGCAGAAGAATATAAGAAACAAGAAGAACGCAGAAGAGCAGAAGAATTAAGGAAGCAAGAAGAACGTAGAAGGGCCGAAGAAGGTAAGAAACTAGAAGACCGCAAAAACGCTGAAGAATATAATAAACTTGAAGAACGACGAAAGGCTGAAGAGCGTAAAAAACAAGAAGACAATAAAAAGGCAGAAGAAATCAAAAAAATTGAAGAACGTAAAAAAGCAGAAGAATTAAAAAAATTTGAAGAACGTCGTAAGGCAGAACAACGAAAAATAATGGAAGAACGTAAAATAGCAGAGGAACGTAAGAAGGCAGAAGAATACCAGAAATTAGAAGAATGTAGAATGGCAGAGGAACATAGAATAGCAGAAGAACGTAGACTGGCAGAAGAACTTAGAATCGCAGAAGAACGTAGAATGGCAGAAGAACATAGAATAGCAGAAGAACGTAGACTGGCAGAAGAACTTAGAATCGCAGAAGAACGTAGAATGGCAGAAGAACATAGAATAGCAGAAGAACGTAGAATGGCAGAAGAACTTAGAATAGCAGAAGAATGTAAAATGGCAGAAGAACTTAGAATTGCTGAGGAACGTAATAAAACTGAAGAATTACAGAAACTAGAAGAATGTATAACGGCAGAAGAATGTCAGCAATTGGATGAATTCAGAAAAAATGAAGACTGTAGACATGCCGATGTGTCCCGAATGTTTGAAGATCACAGAAGAGCCGAGGAATGTAGGTTAATGGAAAAACAAGACAATTACAAAACACTAGACGAGTACAGGATGCTAGAAAAACTTAAAGAATGCAGAACCCTTGAAGAACAGATTAAAGCAGAGGAGTTTAATAGAAGACTTAAGTTACTTGATGATCAAAAAAGGAAATATGAAGAATATAGAAAATTCCAGGAACGCATGAACCTTGAACAATGGGAAAAACTTAAAGAACAAAATGACGAACAAAAAAGTCTTGAGGAATTTCATAGACGAAGAAAATCTGATCATTCTAGGAGAATTGATGAACGGAGAAAACCAGACGAGGCTAAAACGTTTGATGAATACAAAGAACTTGAAGAAATCAGACAGCTTGACGAATATAGGAAACATGACGATTCTATAAAATATGATAAATTGAGAAAATATGACGAAACCAGAAAATTTGATGAGCCGATAAAATATAATGAGAATATAAATTATGATGAGGCAAGAAACAACGACAAGGCGAGAAAATATGATGAGGCAAGAAACAACGACAAAACGAGAAAATATGATGAGGCAAGAAATTATGATGATCGCAGAAAACGTGATACAGCTAGAAATCTCAATGAGCGTAAAAAATATGAGGAAATCAGAAAATTTGAGGAATCCGACAAATATAGTAAACCCAGAGAACATAACAAAGGCAGAGAACTTGAAGAAATTAAAAATCTCGATGACTATAGAGATTTCGATACTTGTCCACAACTTGATGCACACAGACATAACAATAAAGACTTCGATGACAGCAAGGCGTTTGAAAGTCTTACAAACTTATACTCAGGCACTAAGATTTACAATGACTTTAGAAAAACAGAGGATTTAAGAGAACAAGATCGTAAATGTTATAATAAAACTGACAACAGTGGTGTTCGAGGTGCCTTTTCTAATAAGATAGATGACCTGGGAGCCAAGGAAGGCGGTTATTCTAGCAATACTAGTGACCACATGCCACGAGACGGTGGATGCAAAAATACAGATCACCGTGGTTCTCGTAATAAGATAGATGACAGAGTAGCACGAGATGGTAGCTCTGATAATAAGACGGGTGAAAGGGAATTACGTGGAACTCCACGCGGTTGCCATAAGGGAGATGACAGAGTGGCACGAGACTGTAGCTGTAATAATAAGGCAAGCCGAAGAGAAGTACGTGGAACTCCACGTTGTTGCCATAAGGCAGATGACAGAGTGGCACGTGACCGCAGCTGTATAAGATCAGACCGGAGGCGACAAGACGAAGCTGAACGTGGCTACTGTAAAAGGTCCGGAGACCGAAGGAAGCGAGAACACAGCTGTAGTAGACGAGCACATCATCGAAAAGAACGGGACGACAACATTTACATAATTGAAAATCGGAATGAACGAGAGGACAGCTCTTATTTAAGAACTAAAGATAAAAAAGACAGTGAGGTAACAGAAAATACGGACCTAGTCAACGATGTTAAATTTGAGAATTTAGATCGTAAAGCACTTGAATATGACGGCTACAACAGTCAATTGGCAGACTCCCGAGACACAGTAACAGATGAACTTCTAAAAAGTTCTTATCCTTGTACGGAGTGCATCGATTCACAATCGACTTCAACTTGTCGTGACGTAACTTCAGATAGTCTTTCAAAATATCAGTCAGAGAAACCGATGGAAAAAGAAAGAAAAACGACTCGCTTTCAGGTCACGAAGGAACGGATACCAGGAAACAGAGGAAAGAGTAAAAACAAAGTTAAAGTAAAAACTGGAAAGTCGCCGTACTTGGAGATTACAATCGACAGGCCTACTACTGAAATTTGTGTGGATATGGGACAGTGCAAGTCGCACTATTCGTCGTTTAAACCAAGCAAGATACCTAAACGCGCTGATAATGGTCAACTATGCCATAGTAGGCAAGGATCAGACCCATCGGAAAAACAAAAGAGCCTGATTCCTCAACCAAAGAAGAAAACGCTGGATGACATAGCTTTAGCCCAGTGCGGTTGTTCCAGGTCATGCGACAGCAGATTAAACGACACATTCTGATGACTGGAGATTTCTATACGTGTCTTATATGATGAGGTCTTAAAAGATTTAGTTTTATTGTAGGTAGTAGATATTTCAATAATTTTAGCTGTATGATTATTGTTGTAATTTATTTGATACTGTTATTAATATTATATTATGTGTTTAAGTATAATTTGGATTTTTAATTTCTATCGTTCCATGTTTCATTGGTTGATCTTACGCCCGAATATTGAAAGGCTACTCTTTGTCAGGTCGCGCTAAATATAGTGTTGTCACTACAAATTCTTTGTAAAACGACAGAGATGATATTATATTTAAATACAACTTAAAATTTAGTATTTTGTAGCCTTCTCAGTATTATACATTAATTAAACAGTTACACATTTTAACATTTAGTAGTGGTGGCCTGGAGGTTCAAGGCGCCCGCTTCTCATGCACGAGGGTCCAGGCTCGAAACCTATCAACGGCAAAGTATACATGTGACTTTTACCGAGTTATATGTACTTTCTAAGATTATTTAGACACCACTGACAAACGGTGAAGGAAAACATCGTGAGGAAACCTGGGCGTATAATATGTAATTGTAAGTTCGAAATCGCCAACCTACATTGATCAAGCGTGGTGATTAATACTCAAACCTTCGTGTGAGAAGAGGCCTTTGGTCAGCAGTGGCCACATATAGGCTGTTTGTGTTAACACACATGCGCATTAATTTAGAAAAAAGAAACACAAACACAGATTAAAAATGCATTTTTACCATTCCTACTCTATTTTATTTCAATTATTCCACCTCCTCTCTCTCTTCATAATCAGAGAGGTACCCACTCCACATAATTCCAGTGAGTACCACACTAATCACAGTGATGAATTTATTGGCTCGATCCGGGTGAATTAGAGGGGATCCTGAGTTATTGCATATTTTGCCCAGCTCAGGTGGCCGGCACCGCTGCTAATCTGTCATTACACCCAGTAGCCACTTTGGGAATTATGTGTCGGACTTTTGTGGTAGGCGTTTTGCAATAATACACTCTTATGTTATTTAATGAGTGATCTAATGAATATACTAATCATGATGTCGTACTACATTTTGTTAAAAGGTATGATGGGGTTGGCATATCAAAGATAAAAACCCCTTAATAAAAAACAGATAAAAAAATATAAAAGATCTCATACAATTACTTTATATTATTACATACATACCTCTACATACATACATAACTTCACGCCTGTCTCCCATGGGGGTAGGCAGAGACTAGGGAACGCTAATTACTACGATTCCTACATACCTCTTTCGCTTCATCAACAGTCATCAATATTTTCATGCATGCTCGTTGGTGATTATAGACTCGTCATATAGTGACCAGATTGGCGATATATTATTAAAGAAGGGCTAAATTAAAAGTACCCATAACTATATTATTAGTTTCACATTTCCCAGTTTACTGTTTACTAAATAAACAAATATTTTTAAAAAAAATTCTCCTTTATTAATTTGACCAAGATTTAATAATTTAATATAATACCTAGTTGAATAATATTCCAAAATTGTGATAACTTGACATATTTTTATTGTAATAATTTAACTAGTACAACATAAATTTTGCGACTAAGATCACAAATTAATGTTTAAAATATTCAAGTAGAATAATCCAAAATATCATAAACTATTGTACACTATTGTACTTCTAAAGTATTGTAATTCTAAACTATTTAAGTTTTCTTTTCACTACTAGTAAACTTAGCAACAAATGCTATAGTCTCATTCTTTCGACGTCGATACGAACTTTTTACTAAGAACTTTTTAAAAACACTCAAAGTGCTGTCCGAACATCTGTAGCAAAGTTCTATAGCAAAAAATATTTATGAACTTTTTACCTAGTTTGCTCCCATTATGAAATAGGGACTTCTCTGAACAAAGAGTATTCTATTATCCTTTTACATTTTTTGAGGCAACTTTTGTTCATCACCGTTTAGTACTTATACACTTACTAGAAGGCACTAGCAGGTCAACGACCTTTTCATTTGCCTAGGTCATCGTTTCCCAACCTGTGGTCCGGTCCGTGTCATCTCTGGACCACACATAAATAAGAATAAGAATAAGAATGATTTATTTAGCAAAACAAAGGACAAGTAGACCTATTATTTAACAAAATGCGATAATAAATACATAGAAATCACAATCACAATAATTGCAAGGTAGACCAAAAAATACATAGTTTATAATGCATACTGTTAGGTTAAGTAGTATTTTGTGTATAATATTGGTTAAATTCCATGTCATGCACTTATTAAAACAGTTTAATATTCTAAAATACTTTTAAGGCTAATTAATTAATCTGTATGTACTTGTCGCATAATATGAATTTATTTGTAATTTAGTTCATCTTAAAAAGTATTTAGGTTGACCTATGTATTGTTATTGGTTGTTCATTTGACTAATGCTACCCCCACTGTATGTTAGAAAGTTACCTATACCCTAGCGACCATGGCAGGGATTCATTCGGGATATAGCATTCGGTGGAGTAAGAAGTTGAATTGTTACTGTAATACTGTATTGTGTGGGAATAATAAAGTGAAGTGTGCGATACGTTACCTGTTTTATTTCCTGACTAATAGGTCAGAAGTGGGATAACAGAGAAAATTTCTTATTTTCTTATCACGTCCACGGCTCGGAATAACGTTTCTCGTGATGGACGGACATGAAGGAAATACCCGAGGTAAAGGGTCCGACAAACAGGCAACCCGAGGTAAGGGCCCTGTTGAAATTCATACCCGAGGTAAAGGGTCTAATGGACAGGTGTCCCGAGGTGAGGGCCCTGATGGAATACAAACCCGTGGCAAAGGGTCTAATGGACAGGTGTCCCGAGGTGAGGGCCCTGATAGAATACAAACCCGTGGTAAAGGGTTAATGAATTACTCTTGTGATGTGACCAGGCGAGGGGAAGGTCTGGCACATGAACAAGACGCGGCACCCGAGGTTACGGGACAAAACCAGGTTGTGGACGATCGAAGTTTTGAACAAAGTGCACCAAACTCGAGGCAAGAGTACGGGCACTCAAACTTTGACGATAACCGAAGCATTATTCTAGGAGAAAATGATCAAATAAATTGTGAGGACTGGAATGAGCGGATGCAGGAACGCGGAACAAATCATTCAAGAGGATCATTACGGAGGAGGAGGAGGAAGCGTTATTACTCCACTTCAACTGATTCGGAAAGTGAGGCGCCACCACTGCAAAGACGAAGAGGAAGAAAGAATAATGACTCTGACAACAGGATGATGGACAAATTTCTCAATATTTTAGAAAAGTTCAAAGGTAATGACAAACCCAAAATGACTTTTAACACGAATGTAATACCGGAGTTCGACCCTTTATCAAAAGAACAAACAATACTGACTTGGTTAACAAAAGTTGAGGAATGTGCAGAGATTTATGGGTGGGAGGAAAAAGAAATAATTCACTACTCTTTACCAAAGTTAACAGGTGTAGCAAAGACGTGGTATCAGGGTCTAACCTCGATATTGCATTCGTGGCCAGAATGGAAAAGGAAACTTCTTGAATCTTTTCCATGTAGAGAAGATTACGCAGAACTTTTAACTGAAATGTTAGCTAAGAAAGCCAAATATGGAGAATCCTTGGAGCAGTATTACTACGCAAAGGTAAACCTCTTAAACAGATGTAAAATACAGGGTAGACAAGCGGTGGACTGCCTTTTGTTTGGCATAGAAGATCGTGCGGTGAAAGTTGGCGCTCAGGCAGCTCAGTTCAGCGAGCCTGAACAGGTATTAAAATATTTCAGGACTGTCAGAAGTGGCCCGATCAGGGACTCTCACGACTACATGCGGAAATCAAATGATCGAAGACTAGGGAGCAACACAAACCGACCAGGGTCGTCTAAACCAGGTACGATTGTCAATTCTAATATAAAATGTTTTAATTGCAATGAGGTTGGCCATCCAAGCTTCAAGTGTGAGAAAACTTTAGTAAAATGCACCAACTGTGACCGGTTTGGTCATCAAACTGCCAATTGTCTTAGGAACAAGAAGACCACCATTGAAAATGATCGAAACCAAACGTCGGGTAATGACCAAACCCCAAAACAGGTTTCGGAAGTCTCAATTGAAGATACCGGTTTGAGCAAGTACGTGTTAGACATCAAGGTAAATGATACAGCTATATCATGTCACATTGACCTGGGGAGTCAATGTTCCCTCATCAAGGTGAGTTATGCAAACTTACTTAAACTTCAGATCATTACACGCCCTGACTTGCCGATACTCAGAGGTATTGGTGGTAACCTGATACATCCCTTAGGAGTTGCTGTGTCTTCCGTCGAAGTTCAAGGTCTGCGCGAAATAATAGATTTATACGTAGTAGAAGATTACGTGCTAGTACATCCTGTTTTATTAGGACATTCATTCACTGAGAGACCTGATATATTAATTATTAAAACACCAAACGAAATTAAAATCCAAAGACTACCACCAAACAAATTAGATGTTATGGTGTCTACTGAGTTTAAAATTCCTAGTAACGTGTTACGACCAATCAAAGTTTATACGCATGCACAGTTGGATTGTGATATTTACGTGAATGGTAGTTTAAGAGGTACTGAGGGTAGCGAGTACTATTTATTTCCTGGACAGTACGAAATAAAAAACGGAAGAGGTGCAGTTTTGATCTACAATATATCGGAGACTCCATAAGCATAGATAAAGGTACGTTATTAACCCGATCCTTACATAGAAACCATGTCCCGTTGAACAAAACACTCAATGCGTTTAGTGTGACGTTTGACGACACTGAAATGGAAACTTCAGTTAATTGGAATCCTGCTTTAGACAAAGGTCAGTGCCAAAAATTAAAAGAGTTGCTTGCCAAATATTGCTCTTGTTTTTCTAGTGGACTCCATGACTTAGGTTATACACCTGTCACTGAAATGACCATTGAACTGAAAGACGACGACCCAGTAGTTTATCGCCCCTATCGCATGTCGTTTTCTGAAAGGTCACTGGT